AAAAACAAAAAGTGAAAAAACAGAAAAAATAAAAAATATTTTAAAAAGAAGATTAAAAGGGAACTTCTTTCTTCTTCCCAGCAAGTATCAAACAACTTTAACAATTTATCACCAACTTTTCAAATACAACAATCTCTTAATCCCATCTCACCTAATCCTCTATAAACATATCTAAAACTCCTTGTCCTCTGCCCTAATCAGTTAAGTCTATTAACAGTTACCAGAAGTGACCACATATCTATTATAAGCTTAATCTAATAAATGCAACTTAATTTCCTTCTTTTCATTCATATCTCATTTTCTTTTCTTCAACAAATCTCCCAAACCTTATCCCTCAAATGTAATCAGTAAACAACAAATAAAGGCTACATGTTAACATAATCATTTTAAATTTAACCAAAAAATATTTAAAGCATATAACAATCAACAAAAGGTTATAACAAATAACCTTTTACCCACATAACTCTTTATTATGAACACAAAACCCTAAAATATCATATTAATATAATCAGAAAAAGAAAAAAATGGTCAGAAATAGAAGTCTTATTTTATATATTTGTTTGTTTCTTAAACTTCTATGCTGCCCATCTTGCCTAGGCAGCTCTGTCATTCAATAAATAAATACCATATAAAACATTAAAACAATAAAGATCATCAATTTCAAATTGTTATTCAATTGACTAAGATGGAGGGGAAGGAAGCACAGTACCTACAGGGAGGAGATGGCTTCTGTCGAATCCATTAACCATCTCCAGGATGCCATTCCCCCATTGGGGTTCCAGGCCAGTTGGTAGACCCAGGGTGTCAAGCTCTTTTTGGAAGGCCAAATAAGTGGGTGAGGATTTAACCTAGGGAGCCACAATGTTCCCAAGTGTGTCCACCACAGCAGAAAAGGCTCTTCTCCTGGATCCTGCCAGCTGAAATTGCTTGACCAACAGAATCTACAACATGCTGCTTCTTATGAACAGAGCAAAACCTTAAAATACTCTCTTACAGTCCTAATCAGAAAAGATCCATAAAAATTGTCAGAAATAAGAACCTACCTGTTTACTTTGGCCAAATAACCACTCTATATTGCTTTCCCTTACTCCCCAAAAAATTATCTTAAGCCCCTACAAATAATACTCCCAAAATATTCTGTCCTTTGATTCACTTGCTGAATATAAAGACAGATAGATAACTCTACAAATTCTTCCATACAAAGTTTCTTTTATTGGATTATATTAGGTATCCTCAAAGTAACTCACAGTTATGTCGAGATGCATCTAATGTCCAATTCTTTGCATAGTTGAAATAGTAGTGTAAAATAATAGTAATCTTTCCTCCCTTTCATCCCATATCGAATGAGCAAGGGGTAGAGATGCCGGCGTGCAACTGAGGTCCAGGTGAGAAAGAAGGGACCTCCCACCAACCCAACAAAGGGTCAATTCAGTGATCAATCAGGATTACAGATGTGGCCACATGACATGAACTACATTTCCCAGGATACCTTAACTACATTTTTTTTTTGTCTTTTCTCAAAAAAAAATACCCCTCAAGTATTAACTCTCTTTTGTAAATCCAATGTAAAAGGGTTGTATATGTATTTGTATATTATACTCTTTAATAAAGGTTGTATATGCCACTCTTATGGTCTGTTTTCTGCACATCCTCTTTAATTAATATCAGCATGCTCTGTTCAGCATGTCGTTCTATTTCTGTGTAATAGCCTATCATTTTCATTTTTACATTTAAGTCAATTTTATTTTTGTCCAGTGAAACTTATTTCTCTTCCATAGCACCATTTAGATTTTCATTAATGGCAGAAATCTTGAAGCATATCTTCTGAATTATTTCTTACAGATACTTTTGGATGTATCCATTATATTATTTGCTTTTTATGCCTTTTAAGATCCAGACTTCAAGTTTTTCCCCCAAAGAATGTAAACATCTAGTTTCCCACATAAAGGATTTTATAATTTATTTCCAAATTTTATTCCAAATTCTTTAACTATCTAAAAACACTCAAAGCATTATTTCCTGTATTCCAAAAAATAATATTTTCCCAAGCGCTTAGAATTGTATTTAAAACTTCTTTGACCAAGAAGAAGGAACTTTATGCAGTGGATACAATACGAACTTGCTGATCTAAAGAGTCTTAATATTTCCCAAAAGAATAAAAAGATTCAAAAATGAGGTTTGGCCAAACTTCGTTTCCTTAAAAGACCATGTTACTATGGGTATGTCTAGTCTAATAAAAACAAGGACTAGGGTTGACTTGATACCAGTTTTCCAGCCTGTAAGGGACAGCCCTATAGAAAAGGGGGTCAACCTAAACTCCAAAGCACCTGAGGGCAAGATAAGAACAGATGAAAATTTATCAAGAAAGATCTGACCTAGAACTAAGGGAAATTTTCCTGGCACTGAGAACAATGAACCAGTGAAACAGTTTCCTTCCAGAAGTTCTGGGTGTTCCATCACTGGAGATTTTAAAGAAGAGATTGGACATCCATTTGTCCAGAAGAGTATAGGATCTCTTACTTAAGCAGGAGGTTGGATTAGAAAACCTCCAAGGTCCCTTCCAACTCCAGCTCTGCTATACTGTTACTGTTACTTTGACTCCTATGTCCCAACTGCTCAACAACTCCTAAACTGCCTACAAAACCATGGTTCCTGCTGTCTACTCAACAAGACCAGCTGTCTGGAGTGGAGGTGTGTTATCTCACAATCTTTCCTTTCTTTGAAGAGATTTTGCAAGTTCAGATACAGCATCCAACCACTATCTTGGTCATAAATGCTGTCCTCTATCTAGCTCACCATAGCACTCATCAAAAGTCCCCCTCATTACCCAAGTATTGACTTATGTTTTATAATGTTATTACTAGTTACATAAGAGAAATACAATGTGATGTAATAAAAGTGATAAGCCAGATTTTATTTTCTAAGGCTGGATCATCTTCTTATGTTGTTATATCATATATTGGTTGCAGTATTTTTGATAACACATTGCCTGTACAGAAGTGAGTTTCCTGCATTTCAATTTTTTCCTTTTGAAAAAATGAAAAATCTAGATATTTTCTTAAGTGTTCCATTTTGGATGGTGCTCTGATCTAAAACTATGTCCATTCACCTAGTAATATTTAAAACAGATAAATGTGAATTATACTTAAAAGAGGTATTTTCTAGTGAAAATGCATTAGGAAACTCTCCTTATTTTCAGCTTTTTAAAAATCAGACTTAATTCAAATGGTTTGGAGAATTTCTGTTCAGTGTTTTCTTCTGTTCTCGAGCTCTGTTATCTTGAATCTTACTGAAGAACTTCCTAATCAGAGACTCTTGAGTAACTCTTGCCCTTGACACTCCTTATATTGTTTATCATCATTCCTTGCTATATATAAAATTGGTATTTTATCAGGAAGATCTCCTCCTTACTCTTTGGTTGCCTCCATGCATACGTGTCCAGGCATGTATGCACACATTATATATTGTTACATAACTTTTCCTTTGGGGGATATACCTCACACAGAAAAGTAACTTTCCTTAATATGACTATGAATATTTGGAAATTATCTAATCTGAGAAGTATTTGGGCTACATTATCAACTGGGTTGCGAAATGTTTTTTTAATTATTTGATGCTGTTTAGGCCCTCTGGACATTCTTTTAGATGAGGGAGGAATCTCTGAAAATATTAGTACAGTATAAAGAGGTGGAGAGAAATGCATGTAATGTAATGCTGCTGGTGGAAAATAATTACCTTTGTTCTTCCAGTGTTCCAGAAGTATTCATCTGCATAGGATGAAGTGTCAGGCATGGGGAACCGAAGAGGAAAATTCCCCACATACACACACACCATAGAGAAAAAATTCCACAAGTAGACTCACATATTCATTGGAACTCACTAATCCTTCAGTTGTATTTTCAAAAGAAGGAAATAAATCTTGAAAGCTGGTGTCCATTATTAACCACATAGTCTAATGGTGAAGAGACCAGACTAGAAACCAGGAAACCATGAGTCCTGCCTTAGGCATGAGAGCTGGCTGGGTGACTGTGAGCCAGTAACTCATTCTCAACCCAACCCACCTCATAGGGTTGTTGTTGTCAAGAAAATAGGAAGTGGAAGAAGTATGAGGTACATTCACCAACTTGAGTTATTTATAAAAAATAAAGGTGGGATTTTTAAAAAAAACCTAAATAAATAAATATATGTGTTAGTTTATGTCCTATTGTTATCATTTGACATGTGATTCTTGTCCAGCATCTGCCTGTAAGGTAATTCAGAATTATTTTCTGAATACCAGCATGCTATAGGTGCTCATAATATCAAAAGATGCAAAATCAGTGAATAAAATGGTTTAATATCTCAATAAACTTTAACATGTGTTCTCCACTCCTCTATTCGTTGTAGAATACCTTATGCCACCAAACTTGAAATTCTAGAACTAGAAAACCTTGAATTACGCCGTCTTCGGTCTGATTTAAGTATGGTATATAAAATCATACATTGCCATGTCCTTCCTGTCAATGAATACTTCAGCTTCAACCATAACAACACAAGAGCACACAATAGATACAAACTCAAGGTTAACCGCACCAAACTTGATTGCAGGAAATACGACTTCAGCAACAGAGTGATCAATGTCTGGAATACTCTACCCGACTCTGTAGTTTCTTCCCCAAACCCCAAAATCTTTAACGTTAGACTGTCTACTATTGACCTCACCCCTTTCCTAAGAGGTCTCTAGGGGACGTGCATAAGCGCACCAACGTCCCTGTCCTATTGTTTCTTTTATTTTTCTTATATGTACCCATTTCATGTATTCATAACTATGTATAAACTTATACTTATTATCTTGTAAACAATTGACAAATCAAATAAATAAATAAATAAATAATAAAATAAAATAAAATAAATGAAGAGCGTTTGGAACAGAATGGCAGCCTGTCTGAGCCATTTCATATCTTCTTAAAAATTCTCAAGAGTAAAACTTACAAAGACTCCCTGACATTTTATCATTTCAGATACACAAGAAATCTTGTAGATAAAGGAAATGGAAAATTCAATCTGATGATCTTATGCTGGGGAGAAGGCCATGGCAGGTTTGTAATTGAGAAGATACTTAATTTTCAAAAAAGTCTGTGGATGTGATTTTACAATGAATACACTTGAATGCACCCTGAAGAGAATGTTGTTTATGTTTGTAACTTACGGTACTAATAGATGGTTAAAGTCCACCTTTCCAACAGATTGATAACTTTTAAATTCACAGATCAAAATCAAAAGTGCAACAGTTGTCAGTGGCCACATTTTTGTATATTGGGTTACTTCCCATGGTCACTGATCATCTGGTGTGGCTTCATTAGTGCTTGCTGATTCTCTTGAAAAATATTTTGTCTTTCCATAAGAGTATAATGCGCGGGGACCCTGTTTGGACTGCAAAAGCTAGCCAGAAAAGATAGAGCTTGCTTTAATTTCAGAAAACAAATGAAGATGCACTTTGGTTGTCTGCTTGCATTCAACAATATCAGGATTAGTTGAAAAATGACCATAATTTATCATTGCTTTTATTTTAAGTCCCCATCTCCAGAACTGAGACTCTTAACATGATTTCCCATAAGAGAATGTTTACCAAAAGGTGTCTTAAAAATGCAATCTCCTCATACGTACCAAACTTTTTTTGCACTTTTGTGACTTCTAGCAATTTTGCATACTCATTCATGAGTTTTCTTGGCAACAGTAGATAAAGAGTTTTCCATTGCCACTTTCTGGAGGTTTTTCTACTTCCAGATCTCAGTCTGTCATGCTTTCCCATGCAAAGATCAATTACACCTGACCCTTTTAAACTTAACTGAGTTTACAGAACTTTTTTTTTAAAAAAAGAAATAAGCATCAGTTACAGAACCTCTGTTCCTAGAAGGGCAAATCCCTCCCCTGTATGCTTCAATCTTCAAATATTTATTTAATTTAAAAGCATTTTTGTTACACTTTAGCATTATTTGAATATAACTTCAGTGATCCAAGAACTAGTCTGATTTCCACATGGGTTCATTACTAAAAATTATACATATCAGAATATCACCAAATTAAGGTACATAACAAATGCTGGTAGACATTTGGATTCCTTCATAAATGTTCAACCTATCCCTGCAATCAGCAGCAGGTTTTCACTGCCAGCTACAGATGAAAACAAACTGGGTCAGTATTGTCCTTTTGGCATGCAAACATATGGTATCAATGGGTTTTATAGCTTAGCCAGAAATAGTTCTTGAAAACAGTTTGTCATTTTATTTCTGGTTTTTGCAGGACTGCTATCTTGATTGCTTTTGTCAGAACCAGCTGCTATAGCACCACTTGGTGACTTCCTTCTTTGTGTTTTATTACAATGGTAGCAGGGTTTCCATTGCTCTGACCAGCCTCTGTAAAATGGCTCCAGAGTTTGACTGAAAGAGCACTGTGTACTGTGGTGGCTGCTTAAAACCAGGAGTAGAATGCTCCTCTTAACCCCCACACTCCATCCAGTCTTTTCCTTTTTTTTCCCAATCTGGTCAAGAGAGTCTGCCAATATCTCTCTAAAATGTTGTTGGCAATGTGGCAAAGGATAACATATGGCTTGGAACCTTGAGGTCCTGAAACAACACTTGTCCTCAGCCCTCCCCTCCTGGGAGTTGAAGTCCACAGGTTGTAAAGTTGTCATAGTTGCACATATGCTGTGCAAATTCCATGACTTGGAAGGATATGAGCTTTGTAAGGCAGAAAAAAAAATCTGCTCCATTTTGTAGCTTATTCCTTAGTTAATAGGGAACATAATAATAATATTGCTTCTAGTTGTTGTTGTTGTTTTGTTTAGAATATGTGCTAATAATATTGGGAAATTATTGTGGCTCTTTTCCAGTTGAGTTTGTACCCAGCACATTCCTGTTAATTCCTGTACTAGATCAGATCAAGCAGGGGTGGGCAAACTATGGCCCACGGGACACATCCGGCCCGTTGGTCATTTTAATACGGCCCGCCTCTTAAAAAAAAATATTCCCCTCTAAAAAAAAAATTGGGGCCGGCCAAAAGAGACCCCGCGCCGCGCGCCAAAAAATTGCACACACAACATGGAGCTGGGCAGCTGCTTCCCTGCTAGCGGGGCCAAGGCCACCGCCCGGGGAACGCCCACTGCTTTCCCAAGCCAGGGCTGGGCGGTGGCGTATTGCCCTGCACCGCGTGGCCCCCGCCTGGCAGCATGCTTCTCAGCTGGTCTCCTCCTCCTCGGCCATACAGAACAAACAGGCAGAGAAGGAGGAGATCAGCCGGCTGGTTGGGGGAAGCTTTCTGCGCCGAAAGAGGCAGCTACTAATCTCTGGCTTTGCTCCGCTTCTCCAATGGTCCAGCACCACCCTGTTCTTCTTGTGCTGCGAAAGAGGTGGCTAATGATCTCCGGCTCCGCTCTGCTTCTCCAACATCCGGCGCCACCCTGTTCTGTGTCAGGCCCAGCAAGTCCGAGCAGCCAGCGCACAGAACAGGGCAGCGCCGGATGTTGGAGAAGCAGAGTGGAGCCGGAGATCATTAGCTGCCTCTTTGGCAGCACAAGAAGCCTCCCCCAACTGACCAGCTGCTCTCCTCCTTCTCTGTCTGTTTGTTTTGTATGGCCGAGGAGGAAGAGACCAGCCGGCTGGTTGGGGGAAGCTTTCTGCGCCGAAAGAGGCAGCTACTAATCTCCGGCTTTGCTCCGCTTCTCCAATGGTCCGGCACCACCCTGTTCTTCTTGTGCTGCAAAAGAGGCGGCTAATGATCTCTGGCTCCGCTCTGCTTCTCCAACATCCGGCGCCACCCTGTTCTGTGTCAGGCCCAGCAAGTCCAAGCAGCCGGCGCACAGAACAGGGCAGCGCCGGATGTTGGAGAAGCAGAGTGGAGCCGGAGATCATTAGCCGCCTCTTTCGCAGCACAAGAAACCTCCCCCAACTGGCCAGGTGCTCTCCTCCTTCTCTGCCTCCTTCTCTGCCTCTCCCCTCTTGCTCCTCACAGTTGCCCTGAGCTGGTGCGGTTCTTTACTTGGGCAGCCAGACACCCGCAGCAGCGCCCGCAGCAGCAACAGGCAGTTCTGCCCGGGCTCTGCTCAGGTGTCCGGCTGGGGCTGTCGAGTTGCTACCGCCGGCGCAGCTCCGCGCGGCTCCAGTCCCGCGTTGCCTTGGGAAGGGAAAGGCAAAACCAGGAGCCGCTGAGCCTGAACCTCCGGTGCCGCTGCTGCTGTTGCAAAGCACCGCCGCGGCTCTTCCTTTTTGCCTTTCCCTTCCCGAGGCAACGTGGGACTGGAGCCGCGTGGAGCCGTGCCAGCAGTAGCAACTCCTGACTCAGGGGGCCTCCGAGGGGAGGGGAAGGAGGAGAAGAAGGGGGGGAAGGGGGGGCGATTCCCAAAAAATCTTGTACTGACCCGGCCCGTCTGTCAAATTTTAAAAGTGAATGCGGCCCCCCGAGCCAAAAAGTTTGCCCACCCCTGGATCAGAGCAAGCATCACATCATTCAATTCAGCAAACATTGAAACAGTAAACTAGCAAAACTGTAATAAAGACTGGTAAAATAAGGAGAGAGACACAAAACACAAGCAAAATTTACATTGTCTAAGATTTATCAAAAGGCATAGAACTTTCCACTGCAAAAAGTATTCTGGGGAATTAGCATGGACAGTCTCAAACCAAGTGACCTTAAGCTATTGTAGTCTTATTTCCATTCTAGAGATGGAAAGTAGGACACCAAGTGATCCCTCTTCTATTCTTCACGTGAAAGAAACCATTTCATGGATGTGGATGATGTACACAGCAATTGCAACCATATTCACAATTTTACCCATCACATTTATGGCCAAAATTGAAGGATTACAAGTATTTAGGTGCTTAGAAAGATTAATTAGCATGAAGCTGTGCTGGGAAGCTGCAGTAGTGTCTAGTAAATTTGCTTACACAGTTCTGATTGTAGTCAAAAGCATTTAAGGTACCAATATCACTTAATACATTCCAGTCCCTTATAACAAAAGTAGGACTTTGAAAACAAGGCTACTGATTTCCAACTACTATTAGTAAATTAGTAGAGCAATAAGGTCTGTAATAGTAAATCTATGGGTAAGAATTGTTTCTACATAGTTTAACAGAGTTTCCAAACCTAAATATTGCCTGTCTTAGTTTAATTACTTTCCTAATTAACATTTCTAGCCTCTTTTAAATATGAGCGTGTTATAACCTAGATACTTCACTTTTTTTCTCTAAATGTGTTGCACAATATAACAACGTGGCATTTATTGTCTACTGCAAAACAGAGACAGAAAAATCAAATAGTGCCAAATTGGTTTTTAATAAAAAAGATGTGCAAACATATTTTATAAGTACTATGTTCCCTATTGAGCAATAAACTTGGTTGCTATGTCTGTTAGCAACTTGAATCCTGAATCCAAACACTCAGAAATATACAGTAGTATTAATAATGGTGGATCTTAAAGCATGTTAGGAAGCTTGCAGGACACAAATGTTATAAATAGCATAGAAATAAGTATGCCTACATATAAGAAATAATTGCAGACTGAGCTTACAATTGAAGGGTCAGTGAACAGTTTTAAGTAAACAAAAAAAGTAAAGATTGTGTTATTTCTAGTTATGATCCTTTTGGGCTACCTTGAATAACCTTTCCTTTAAAGTTCTTCTTAATGCATGGATAGAATTGCTGGCTACAATACTTACTTTGATTCAGTCCAGGTAAATTTGTACAAAAAAGTGCAAAATATGTACCTGTAACTGTTCACTTTTGCTGAACTACAATTCCCAACACCCTCACCATGGAACATTTAACTGAGATGCTGGGATTAAGAGTTTAGCAACACTTGGATATTGAAAGTTGATTGCTTTAGTTTAGACCATTGTAAAGAATAGACTCTTTCAAACAGAACTCAACCCCTAGTTAACTTCAGGGATATGTCTGTGTAGTTATCTTGCCAACAATGTAGAACTGATTTACCATTTGCCTTCCTCTAGGAATCAGATGCTCCCCACCCATGCACACCCTCAACTTCTCAAATCAAATTTACGGTTGTGGAATTTCCTGGCAATCTGCAATCCAACTACTAAGTAGATCCAACCCTTGCTTAACTTTTCCAGATCAGCCAAAGATGGTGTTACCTAACTGGAATAGGACATTATATTCATGATAATTGAATCTGTAGGCGTGTTGTGCCATGCAAAACAGCAATTAATCATTTTTGTATATTGTCAATATGCTTTCTGGGAATTCTGGGAATTGCATTTTAATCCTTGGAAGATGCCAAGTTGTGGAAAGCTGATCTAGTACATATGTATATTATATACCTTACAGGCATCAACTTTTCTGACTTTATGCATTTTTTGAAATTGTTTTTGTAGCAGTATCCATGATCACACAGATTCGCATTGTTTTATGAAGGTACTTCAAGGAAACCTAAAGGAAACTTTGTTTGAGTGGCCTGGCAAAAAAGGGGTTGGAGAGATGCTTAAAAAATCTGAAAGAGTGTTAAAAAAAAATCAGTGTGCCTACATTAATGGTAAGTCATTTTGCTCTGGTGGGCTTTAAATTTAACATTCTTTCCCCTATAACGATTACCTATAAAAGTTTAAATTTTTATGGTATGTTAAAAGTCATGAAAAGGTCCTTTTATGATTTTGGGGAAGTGGCTTTATTTTTCCTGCTTCAATAAATGACTTGTTTTGCTTGCTTGTTAATTTATTTACATATACATACATAGATGCAATCGTGATTTGTATTCCATATCCTTCAATAGATTCTGGGAAGCTCATTTAATTTCCTCCTTACAATTTAGACAGTTTACAGCCAACAGGGACCAATCTTAGACATTGACATAGCTGGGCAACTACTGATAGCTTCGTAATTCAAAAAGATCTTATTGATATCCCAGTTGCCATCAAAAACATTGCTTGGTGCAAGGAACATTGGTTGCCCTTGTGCCCATCATTCATTTTTCATTCATTCATCTTACTTTCTCTTTTCCATTGACATATTGTCCAGAAGTATTTATTATGATTTAGCTCTGTTCTCTAATCCTCCAGGACAGGGGACTGGAACAGGAGATACTGCTTGATCCTCCCAAATGCTGCCAATCACATTCTTATGAATTTTAAAAAATGGAAAAATTGCAGGAATCCCAGAATTGTCACAGTTTTATGATAGAGGCATTCCCCTGTCAATTCCTAGTTTGCCCTTAAAAAAAGTCACCTTCATTTCGCAATATTTGCTATTATAGCATTTTACCTGGGGAAAAGAAATCTCAAAAATTAGTTTTTACCCTGGACAGCATGTTACTGGATATGGGAATAAGGTGATTTCATTGGAGATAAAACTGAAATGATTTTTAGAAAATAACTTTCTAGACAACAAAACAGAGAAGAGAATATGTTCAGATCATGTTGATAAACCAATGCCTGAATATTTTTCTAACCTTAGTGGCGAGATAGAAAGAATAGATAGAACAAACAGAGGTTGAACATACATACACCAGTCAGTCCTTAATTCAAAATACTGACTCAATTTCTTTTCCTAACACAATGGAATTTTTCCATCAAATATCTCTTTTGAATCTGTGTTATTTTGAGTTACTGTACACATAACTAAAATGTGGGATTCTATATAATTTTGATAGTGGGAATTTTAGCTAGAAAGCAGAAGACTCTAAGTTCTCATTTGACCTTAGGCTTCTACTCATGAAAAACAGGCTGGGTGACTTTGGGCCGGTCACGCTCTCTCAGCCCAACTCACCTCACAGGCTTCTTGTTGTGGGAAAAATAAGAGGAGGAAGTATAAGGTATGTTTGCCACCTTGAATTATTTGTAAAGATAATAAAGGTGAGATAAAAATACTTTTGAAAAATCAGTAGTCTGATCCTAGAGATTATCCTCCTGTCTCATAATAGCTACCCAAATATTTTTAACAAGCTTTCACTTACCTTGCTAATATTTTCTTATTTTCACACCACATAATTTTCTATTTCATTCCTGAGAGTTGTCTTCAGTTTGTTTTATTTGTTCTATTTGTCACAGTGATTTTCCTTTCTCCCAAGTTGTCGTCTTATCTATCCCTGGCCATCCATAAACTTCCTTAGCTGCTGCTCCCATTTTTAAAAAAGATTTTCCCCTTCAAACCACCTTTCAATGATATGGTTGCACAAATTACCATAGTAGATGTTGGAGCATGCACATTATCTGCTTTTAAGCTTAGAAAAGTTTGTCCTGTATGGCCATATCGTTGAATAATAAAGAAACCCAAACCATTCCTATACACAATTGCTTAAAGTCCTTTATATCAGTTAGTCCATGAAGCTAGACATGACATGCTTTGTAATTTTTTGGCTTTTCTCCTCTCCTCCACTTCATCAGTCTCTGGGTACCAGGAAATATGTCCTGGTACATACAAATAACAGCTATTGTGATTTAGGAGATGCTAGCACCATGTGCAATATCCAAAGGAGGAAGCCATAACCACATTTCAGTTCAGCACCAAATATATTTCTGCCAGCTGAGTGACCCTGAGACAGCTATATTTGCATTATTGTGCTACATAGCTTAGTGTTCAAACTAAATAGTGCCGGTGCTAGTTTTCTGGCAGTCAGAGGAGAAGAAAATATAATTTCTTTTGAAAACCTTGAAAAAGATAGCTAAGTTCTCTGCTGCTACCTTCAAACACCAATAATTTAGATTCTCCACCCACAAATACACATTCTCTTCCCCTGAAAAAATGGATAATTTTAGCATTTTTTGAAAAAAATGCTAAATGTTTATTAGATATTTATTACGCTTTATATATGTGTTTGGATATTCATTTTATCATGTTTGCTTTGTGACAGTAAGTAGCTTATTGATATGTATGTTTGAATACAAGGTGAATATAACAGGTTTCTTCCTAATCTGAATATCTTGATTCATACAGCCAGCTGGGAATGCTGTTGACCTGGTTAAATGTTACATGTGAGCGCTGTCAAAGACTTTAATACATAGTTTTTCTTTTCTGGGATTTCTTCCCATTCAAATTGCAGTTTTATATAATGAGAGTAACTTCTCTTTCTACAATTTTCCCTCAGTGAAAATCCCCAACTCCTGAAAAAAAATGACGTAGCAAACAATCCAGTAACAGACAACAAGTAAAAATGGCAACTGCTTAATAAAATGCAGAGGAGCCATGTTGGCTTTTAATCTAGCCATGTTTCCCAGTGTTTTGTGTGGTTCTTTGTGTGTCTATCTTGTTGTTGTTTTAGAAAAGTCTTTAAAACCCATAATAGCCTTTTTAAGATTGAAATCATTGGAAACAGACTTAGGAAGCCCTTCATTGCTCTTTCACCATTTAGTTTTCATTTTAAAGAAAATGAGTTGGAGTCTTAAAGTACCCTTTTTGGAGTTGGTCTATGTGTATGGCCAAAAAAGAACACTGTCTTTCTAGATTTGCATGACAGCATGATTCAGAAATATAAACTTCAGTTACTCTAGAATACTTTACTGGGGTCCAGTGCTGATAAAGAAATAAACTGGGTTCCTGGATATGCATGCTAGGCCTTTGAAAGACCCATTTAAATATAGCATGTTAATAAAGCATCTGGTGAAGCTGTCACTTAGTGCAGGGGTCTCCAATCCTCAGTCCATGAACCAGCACCGGGACACAGCATGTCAGAAACTGGGCTGCACAAACAAACAAAGCCCCATCCGTGGAAAGCAAGCAGCAGGTGAAACTATGCCCCCTCCAATGCACGGAAAACCTCTCCACAGAACCAGTCCCTGGTGCCCAAAAGGTTGGGGACAGCTGACCTAGTGGACTTCATAAAGGGGTGGGATTGAGAATTTGGATCTGCCCAATCTAAAACTCTGCACAGCATTGATTTGTTATGCTCTTGTATTCTTTGTAGACTCCATTGGTTTGCATCGTGTGGAAAACCCAAGCCATACCGAAACAGCTGTTAGTCTCCACTTGTACAGTCCACCTTTTGAAATCTGCCAGACCTTTGACCAAAGAACTGGACACAAGCAAAAAGTTAAAATGACGTTCTATAGTCAGTTTGGAGAAAGGACTCCATATGTGAGTATAATTACTTGTGTCTTGACATTTGTTATCGTGCTGATAGAAGCAATGAGGAAGCAGCCAGGAAACAAGCTTGAATCTTACATAACCATGCTTAGTCAAGGATATTAAAAACATGCTAATTTTATGCCTGAACAAAGCTTCAGGATTATTGAAGAGAAAACAATACACACTAGGTTTATTATAAAAGTTTCTGTCCTGACTTTCTCATTACTAAAAAAATAACCTCCAAAGAGAGTATGTTGTATACATTTAGGATGGCACATCTTCATTTTAACATTTCATATTGCAACTCTGTATGTTTTTTAAAGGAAACTAAAAAGAGGGAGGATTCTCTTAGAAAAAAGAACAAGTATTGGAACTTGGGGAACCAGAGCAGGCTAAAGTCTTTATTCTGATGTTGTGGTTCTCTCAGGGCAGACATTTAAAGAAAATTGAATTATGCAATTCTCTGCCTTCAGTGTTGAAAACACTGGTCTGCAAGATGGCCTTTGAGAAGTGTCTCAGCTAAAAAATAATAAAATCAATTATTGATTATTAACCATTATTATTGATAGTAGTTTAACACTAATAAATGATAGTAATTATAATATTTTTAGGTATTTCACAAATCAATTCCATTCTTTCACCTTATATGAAACAGGCAAATCTATTTTATACCTCAGAAGAATTATTGGAAAACATAATAGTACCTAATATTTTTCAATCATACAGTTATTTAGAATTTCTTGCTACAGAGACATCTTCCTTATTTAAAATAACTGAAAACTCTCCACTTATCTCTTTCTTTATCTAGACTTCAGCAGTTTCTCAAGAGAACAACTGAGAAGAACTAAACATACTGAATTATATATTCTTTTATTTTATTAGAAATTATTTGAGCAAGAGCAGAAGAATTATGTGGCTAATGCCAGTATCAAACTGTATCTTTATGCAGGACTACATAGCTGTCCCATATGAAAAGCAGTTTTTTTAGCTATGATTTCTTTCTCTCTTTCTCTCTCTCATGTAAACACTAAAGTGCAGAATATAGAAGATTCTTGCAGACAACCAACAAATAAGAGCATGGGGGGAGGTGCAGAATGCCTCTGATTAATTCTATTTCTGAGACTGTGCACACAGACATTGTACTTAGCAGGCTTTCAGAATGAATGTGCACTACTTAAAGTAG